TGTGTGTATGGGTTTCAAATCCATTTCGGTTAATTATTATAATTTGATCGATTTTCATTTATCATATGACGATCATATAAAAGTTACCAAATTATCAGCATTGTAAATGTATCAGATATTCATATAGAATTTACCTGACACATTTTCAATCATATCATTTTCAATGGATTATCTTATAGCGCAAATTTATTAGACTTCCACATAACAGGAATATGTCAAATTCGTTCAGTGTATCGACTTGTAATTTCAAAAGTGTTTTTTTTTTAACAAAAGTTGTAAAACCTTGTTGTAAAAATACCTCTTCGTTTCGAAGTCTTTGGCAGTACTGGACCTATGTTTCCCGCTAAATCTGGCATGCGAAACAGAAAACAACATGAAAGCAACTGTCAGAACTAGCAGGAGCAGCGGCAGTGTCTTTCACTTCACCTCATTTTTCATCCGCCAGTGCACTAGTTTCTCTTCTGCGCGATACGAATAGTACGCGGTGACGCTAGCAAGATGAAGGATGCTTCTGTTGCGGGATTTGGAAGTAAGTTGATGACATTTTCAAATACTTTCGATCTTGCTTCCGATTTTATTATTTGAAGTCCTTTGATCTTTACATGGAAATTCGTCAATAAAAATGTGTGGAATTGTATTAGTGTACGCTTAAAGAACCCTATTTTCAACCGAGTTTTAAGAATAAGAAGAAGGCAAATAAGCAGAAAAAGGATGTGGAACAATCAGAGGATCAAGAAGAAGAAGAGGAAGAATTTGAGCAGGAGGAAACACAGAAGAGGAAGCGAAAAGCGACGGACAAAATGGTGCAGATACGGAACCAGGAAGAATCTATGTCGGTTAAACAACATTTGGAACTTCGGCAACGATGGGAAGAAAAAATGAAACAGATGGCAGAACAACGAGAAATTTACAAGAACATGGCCAGCGAAACGTTCAAAAACCTTTCGACGGCTATTAACCGTAACGACGGGTCCAGTTATACGCTAATCGTACAGGCAATGAAAAGTTTGGCGCATTCATTAGGATATACAGTGGAAGAAGTCAAAGGGAATTCTTCTACTACTGGCAGTGAAATTCAAGGTCTTCCAAAATAACATCCAGAGTCTAGGAAAAAACAAAGTAGAACTAGCACACGAACTTCATTCAAACAAGTATGATGCTGCCATCTTGGCAGAAATCTGGGTTGATGATAACAAAGTCAATTCATTAAACATTTCCGGGTATCATAAAATTCTGGCTCCGCGTCCAACCGAGATAGGAGGTGGAGTTGGAATTTACCTTAGGGCTACATATAACTATCAAAAGCTAGATCTCACCACCACAAATATGTTTGAGGTTGTTGGCATAAAAATAACCAGTCTCCAATTTCATATAGTATCAGTGTATATCAATCCACGGATTACGACAGAAGATTTGAAGTTAGGTTTGAACAATTTGGTTACAGAAACTAGAGGCTCACATAGATTACTGGTCGGAGGAGACTTTAACGCTCACAATATTATATGGGGATGTAATAGTAATAACAACAAAGGCAACATAGTCTATGACACAATGATAACATCAGAACTTTTAATTCTTAACAATGGTCAGAAAACACACATACCTACTAATTTGTCACATAGACCAAGTGCAATAGATTTAACTTTTTGTAACGCTGCTATTTATAACGATGCACAGTGGAAAGTTTTAGAGCACACCATAGGAGGGTCAAGTCACTTAGTGATCCATATAGAGATTGGTAACAGGCAAACTAAAAAAGCTAGAGTAAAATACAATTACAATAAGATTAATCAACAGTTGAAAACAATCAGCAGTTCAGAATTCGAATCAATCCAAGAACTAGAAACAATAATCAAAACTAAAATGATAAACTGCAAAATTGTAAATGACTACATACCAAAATACTATTGGAGTGAAGAACTAGGCAAACTGTATGAGGAGAAAAAGGAAGCGAGAAAGAGATACAACCAGTGCTCTAACGTGAATAATCTTTGTGTGCTCCAGAGAGCGAACGCAAAATTTCTAAGAGCGAAAAGAGTTCTTATGAAAGAAAAGCTGGCCGAGATCACAAAAAACATTGACCCGAGAGACACCAAAGGGAACTGGAAATTAGTTAAAAATCTGAAACATCGTCATGAAGATAAACCGAAAAACAACCTAGTGATGACATCTAAAGAAACAGCACTAACGTTTTTGGAAGCCAACTTCGAAGAAACTCCGGTAAATGACCAGCTAGATACACGTATCTGGAATCTTGACGAATCACAACCACAAGCACTAATAACGCTAGACAGTTGGAATGAGTTCCTACAAAAAAAGAAAAAACATTCAGCCCCTGGTACAGACCGAATCAGCTACAACATGTTGAGGCAACTAAGTACAGAAGTCAAACAAAAAATAATAAAAGAGCTGAACGAGTATTATGAAAAAGGACACCTACCGGAACACCTTAAGGAAGTCAAATTAATACCGATACTGAAAGCAGGACGAGACCCAAGTGACTGCACGGCATACAGACCAATAGCAATGCTATCAACTTTAACAAAATCGATCAACGGAAATGTTTTGTTAAAAATAAAAAAGCATACTCAACAATATGATCTGCTACCTAAGCACTCGTTCGGTTTTCAAGCAGAAAAATCAACCGAAGATTGTCTAGAATATGCCACCAACTATATAATGCAAGGTAAAAGGAAAGGTCTAATTAGCATTGGGATCTTTTTTGATTTCTCAAATGCTTTTAACACCGTGGAATTGGAAATATTGATAAGGACTCTTGAAGAAATGAACTTTCCTGTAGATATAACTAGATGGGTAACAAACTTCCTTAGTAACAGGAAGCTAATCCTGCAAACGGAAGAAGGAACAGTACAAATGAATGTTTCGAAGGGATTACCACAAGGAGATGTGTTGTCACCGATGCTGTTCAACCTCTACACAGTAAAGCTGCACAATGAAACACTGGAAGATGTAATAACGGTTCAATTCGCAGATGATTTCTTCAAAATAGTTAGAGGAAAGACACGTGAAGAAGCAGCATCTAAAGCACAAATGATTATAAATAGTTTTGCGGACAAATGCGCAGAATTACAACTGAAGCTTAACGAATCGAAAACAAAGACAATACTATTTTCTCCTGCAAATGTTGATCTGAAACTGATGGTTGGAGGTTCGGAAATTGAAACAGTAAGATACTACAAATATTTGGGAATTAATATTGATAAAAATCTAAACTTCGGAACGCTCATCAGAACCACCACACAAAAAATCACAGACCGACAAAATATGCTAAAAATAATAGGAAGCATTAAAAAAGGTGCCACCCCCAAAGTCATGACCCTGTTCCACAAAGCACTCTATGGAAATTTTCTTCTGTATGGATCGTCTGTCTATGGAAGAACTCCCAAAACCTATCAGAACATGTTAGATGTATCTAACAGGCAATGTCAAAGGATAGCTACTGGTTGCACAAAGACAACACCAATAAACACGCTAGCGGCCTTGAGCAATGAGAAACCTTTAGACCTCACACGACAACACCACACCATGAAGAGAATTGCACAGCACATAAGGAGACAGGACCCGATTGGAGAGCAGCTCTTGCAATTAGAACAACCAGACAAGCTAGAAGACCATCTATACACTTTTATGGAAAAAGTGTATTTAGAAAACAGTAAACAACTTTTAAATGGATACCACAATAGTAAAAACAACGCGGAAATACAAGAGGTTTCAATCAAACCACTAGTGGCCGGAATTCCACTTTCAAAACAAAACTTAGCACCAATGGCCATACGGCAGATAACAAAAGAGATGATTCATACCAAATATGATAACTGGCAACATATTTACACCGATGCATCGCGTTCGGAGGAAGAATGTAGCATTGGAGTATACAGCGTAGGAAACAACATGGAGATAAGTATGAAACTACAAAACTGTTGCAGTATCATGACAGCGGAGATCTTGGCAATATGGATAGCTACGAGAGAGGCAACGATATTACAAAATGGCAAAACGGTCCTCTTGACGGACTCAAAATCAGCATGCTGGTATTTGATGGACCAGGCTCAAAAGGAAAAATCCGATCAAATATCAAATGAGATTTTCGAGAACATGATAAGTAAACGAATAACAATCCAGTGGATACCAGCGCATGTCGGAGTAGAAGGCAACGAACGCGCTGATCAATTAGCAAAAAAAGGATTAACAAGTCCAGCTATACTGGTAAATAAATTACTATGGCACGACATGGTACTTACATTAAAGCAGCTACTCGAAAAAAGAACAAACGACTGGTATCGACAGATGGCCTTAGCAGATGGAAAAGGCAAGAAATTCTTCGATTTAGTAGAGAACTTTCCGGACAGACCATGGTACTGGAATTTGCATATGAATGGAGAGGATGTCAGACTCTTAAACAGGGTTATATCAGGACATGACTATTCAAATTTTTGGTTAGCTAAACTAAAAATCAACGAATTCGAAGAATGTGATTTATGCGACGAAACGGATACGACAGAACATGCGCTATTATACTGCATAAAATATGGACACATCAGGAATCACTTCGAATGGGATAGATATCGAAACCTTAAGGACGTAATAGGAAATTTTGAAGAATCAAGGTTGAAAGACATGGTTAAATTCATCAAAATGGCCAGACTGAAATTGTAAAGCATACATCAAAATATACCAGAGGGCAGTCACTGGCGGATATGAGGCACCGATCCTCGAGCCATCAAACAACAAAATCCAACAACAACAACAACAACAACCGAGTTTTCAACACCTTATTTGCTGGATACAGTCATGGCTCTAAATAATTGGGATTCACTGTACCAAGTACGCAGCTAAAAACTCTTATTCCATCTTCTCTGGCAGCACTGGCCGCTGTTGTTTTGACAGTCCTTTTTTCGTCTGTTCTTTCCTCTCTCGCTCTTTGTTCGTCGGCTAAATTTTCTTCACACACTACTTGCAGTTTTCTCTCGGATGAAGCCTTCAGTGGTTGATACGGAAAGAAACCTCAGTTTTTAATTTGGAAGTGATTCGGTTTTATTCATTTTAGCTGAAAAATATCCTGTGTAAAATACTTCGTCGGCGAACGGTGATTACCACCCAGAACGGTCAGATGTTTTTTCAGTGCTGGTCACTTTCGTGAGTGAGAAATTGAAGCAAGGAAAAGTGTGACCGAATGGACAATCAGTGCCCGTTGCGTTGTTGCATATTTCTTTTTATCAGCTTCATCGCGGTCGGATTTCGGTGGAAGATCACGCACTAACGAAGAGCAGCGGAAAGAAAACAGTCGACTGCGAAGAGTGACAGTAGTTTGCACGAAGTGTCAGAAGCATCCGTGAAGAGGAGTCGGCGGCATCGCTGGCCGTGTTGTCGGCTTGTTAGGTTAGTTTTTTTTATATCGATTGGTCTGGGGTTTTACTTGATTTTTTCTAGTTTTTACTGTAGATGTTTCCGTTATAGGACAACAGTTATCTTTTATTTAATTTCATTTTCATCATGTTGTGATATAGTGTGAATATAATAAACATTCTTCATTTTACAGGTTCTGCAGCACTGGTCGAAAGGTTTTGAAAGAACGGCAGAAGCGGCAAAGCAGCAGTACGACAAAAACAAAGAGAGAGAAAGAGAGATCGAAAATCTCACGGCACGACACTGAGCAAGTAAGAGAGGCTTCTTGTCGATGAGAGTACGCAACCAGAAAAAAGAAGAGGAAATTCTATGCAGCAGCAGTGCGAAGACGAAGGGTGAGAGCGCGAGGCATTTTCTTGTGAAAAAGAAGCGATTTTTCAGTTTGGAGGATTTTCGGCCTGTGTGGTGCGTTTTCGGAGCTGATCTCCCAAGACAAGGAAGAAGGATCGAAACGTTCTGATCCGAACGAGGCTGGTAATAGGGATTGTGGTTCTAGCGAAGAAGAAGCCAGCGAAAGATCTACTACCGGAGGATTGTTCTACTGCCTAGGCTGTGGCGAAGGCAGTCCCAAAGTTCTGCTACTGAGGAGAAGGAGGAGACATTTTTTCGGCATCCAAGGATGGGAATGGTGCGAATTCTGTGCGATTGAAGCTGAGCAAAAATCAAGGGGAAAAAAGGTAAGCGTGTGTGAAACGATAGAAATGCTAGAAAACTCGCTCGACTCGAGAACGGAAGACATTTTTTCGTCGCTAGCGTGTGTGTATTTGTGCTGATATTGTGCCTTTAAAAGGACATTGTTGAAAATTTATTATTGTCGAAAAAGTCAAATGTTAGCCATTGTTGCGAGGGGCCAGCGGAGAGCGAAAAAATAGTTTCGATCTGAAGAAGGAAAAGCTGTGGCTCGTCTCGCCCTTATTAACACGTATTGTGTAATAGTTTGACTTTCGACGTTTCGATTCGATATTACTTTAAGAAAAAAAATCCCACAGCACCCCAAACATGGCCAATTAGCATGGTCTCGGGGGCTTCGGGGGAGAGGTGGTGCATTTTTCAGCGATTACTCTGTGTGTGCCAAGGTGTTTGCAGTGTATTTTTTCTTTCTTTATTCCTATTCTAATGCCCGTCTCGCGAAGGAGTGTCCTAACCTAGATCAGAGCGGTGATTAATTCGATGGTTGTTTTAGGTGACTTGTAGTCGTGCCCTAAGGTTGCTGCCCGGTGGATCGATCTGAACTGCATTGGTTCAGGCTAGCCCGTAGAGGGTCCGTAGAGCAGTGTTCAACCTCTGTGATTAAAATGGTGACCTTGGTGTGAAAAATTGAAATAATTTTGATTGTGTACAGCGTGAAATTCTTGTGTATGTGTGGGAACATCTCAAATTCATGTCGCAGAACCATTTTTGTATTGAGATAATTGATCCGATTAACTGTTCTTAACTACATTTAATTTGTTAAAAAGCTTTGTACATTTGTAGAGAGGGGGAAGTGAAGTGTTGATTAATCTAAGCTAGTAAAATAATGTTTCTTTTATTGACTGCCTATGTGATCTGAATTAATTTCAAATTATGCTTAACGAAACTTAACAAAATTTTAAAGGTTCACTTCACGCATGAAGTAATACGTTTAGTCAGAATATGCGTTGTGATATTTAGTAATGTTCATAAACTACGTAAACAGTTTAGGGGGATGAGTTGTTGATAGTATATGATTCATGCCAGTTCCTAGCGAAGCATCAAACTTTCGGATAGAGATTGCATGTAAATAATTTTTCACTTTACGGCTAGAGTATGACCAGAATCTCGGTTGGAATCGTTTCGAATATTAGTATTTAACCAGCACATTGTAGAAGAAAAATGTCGAGTATGAGTGATTATGATAGTGGATTTAAATGGTTGTTACTGACTAGAGCTACAATACTGTTTGATATTATAGCAGTGCATGCCGATTTTCATACAGAATTGACAACTAAGATCAATTGAGTTGAAACGTTCGCCACAGAACTACAAATATGTTCAATTTTACGATTACAAATTACCAAATTTTTGGAAGCCCTTGCCGAAAAGTGAGATACTCGGTAGAATTGAAATGCATGTTCAATCAATTTTTGATTGACCCTTGCGCTGTCCATAAACGCATAGCAGTACCATGTAGAAAACCAACAAGCCGAGAAAAACAGTTCACTTTATGTGCACATATTAAAATTTAGATATTATCGAAGATAACTCATTTTTGCCAAAAAGTCAATCTAGTTCCAATGCTTTTCACTGGTACGTTGAGCTAGTGGAAATTAAAAAAAAAAATGTTTGATTTGATGAGGAATTAAACTCAGAATATTACCATCACTGATCAAAGTTAACTTCTGAGCTCTGATCAGTTTTGGTAGATACGGAGAAAGATTGATGTACACTGAGGCAAAGGAACGTTAGCATTCCATAAGGATCACTTATGACATTTCAACAAAATGATTTCTTATGACAATCATAAGTTTGGCGTATGAAACAGAATTCATAAGTTAGCTTATGAAACTCAAAAAAATATAATATGTAGCAACCCGGAATCGCATTCTGAGCATTCAGATTATTGACGGTACGTGATTTTTTCTAATGTCTATCAACGATTGAGAAATATAATAGGTTAAAAGAGTATAGGAACCACTCGAAGTAGCTCCACCGACAAACAGACATGACACTTAATTTTCACTTATGCTCGATAATCGTAATTGCCAATTTAAATGTGCAGTGATTCGAACTGTCAAAACCAAAGGAGTTTTTCATCTAGATAAAAATAATTTGTCCAGAATAGATCAGACACGAACCAAATCAAGCTTAACTTTTCAAAAGGACGTATGTAACATTGGATAGGAAATTAGAAACATTGGATAGCAATGTCTATTTGAGATTATTTAATGCTATTTAAAAGTTAATGCTATTTTTGTAAATCTGTTTGTGCTATTAGTTGGAAAAAGGGATAGCGTTTAAGAGAATTGTGAAAAATGTCGAGTTTCGCAAACACGGACACTACTGTTGATAAAACAAAATCATACACCTTTTACTTGTGTACTACTCACATACACCCTGATTGATTCGTCGATATCACACCTGGATTGTAGCATACACCCTGCATGATTCTTGATTCGTCTATTTGACAGAAGGGTTTTCACATACGTCAAATCAGATACACCGGTTTTTTTTTAGATGGAGCGGAGATGAGAGGGTCACCGCATTATCTGCTGTCAGATGTTATACGTTTTGTGTTTTTCGTATTAGTATGTGAAGTTGGTATGTGAAGTTCAATATTAAAGTCAAGATTAAAGTGCAATTTTATTAGAATACTTTTGAAATAATAAACATGTTGCTCCCGGAAATACAAAAACAAACATACAAACTTGACGCATTTGCTGATTGATAGTGGTTGCTTTGTTTTTTCACATACGACGCTTCACTGTGAGTGTATCTGCAGTTTTTGTGTTATCATCAAATTTTAACTGTTAAGTCATGTTGACAATATAAGGGTGTATCAACACCATTTTAAAAACAATGAAAGAAGGTCACATAGGGCGTCCATTAAATATATTTTCTATAATGCATTACAATTTCAAACCTTGTTTTTCATTAACTCGTAGGAAAAGCATGTATTTTATATTCGGTTAGATGCAAAATATCGAATTGTTTATTTTTGCGACTTACCGTCCTTTTGAAAAGTTATGCTTGAAATCATAGCTTAGCTAAATATTTCCCGCAAACACGGAGCTGACATCTGGCATCTAGTGTGCTTTGGTCAGAACTTTTATTGTTTTTGCTATGGTCATTCATGTCGGTTTGTCGGTGGTACCTCTATTACGATAATCATTCATACGCCGGAATGGAATGCATAACTCTTACTTATGGAATTCATAAGTATCTTATGAAATTCAAATGGTCCAGGTTCATAAGTCATGTCTTATAAAATTCTTAAGATTTTTTTGCCTGGGCACTCAAGTCCCTTGTAGTTTCCGCGTCTCAGGGCCTATTGGCGTAGAAGACTTTTTGGATGTGAAAAGACCTATAATAACAGAAAGATATATGTTTCATGGAGCTTTATTCGGTAGCTGGGTATAGTGGACAGCGGGTGTAGAGTTGAACGGTTGTATCGGCTGATAGTTCAGCCAAACCTGGCCTCGGAATGGCGAGGAGGCGATGTGACCGGATCCGTGGCTAGCCGGGTGACTTGGCCGGTGTGATGTCGTTTCGACTGGCCAGCAATAGCCGGGGCCAGCGGCGAACAGTGGCAGGAAGGATTGTTGATCAAAGCTGATACGGCGTCGAGGCTAGCTAGCAGACCGACAATGTGGGTCCGCGAATAGCGGGATGACTTGCCCGGAGCGATGATGAACGTTCTGAAACTGGTTGACCACGAGAGAGGGCTAACAATTAACCGGGATAGCGGCCGCGATGGTGACAGATCTGACTCAAAGTGACTTTGACCAAAGCAGCCACACGATGTGGGCTAACCGTCTGGCAAACCTGCAATCCGGCCGTTCAGATTACCGAGTAACTTGCCCGATAACGGTGACGGGTCGGTGGACGATAGTCAGCAGCAATGACCAGGTTGGGCGTCGACTAAAGGCGGTGGGCTTCCGGCTCCATCCGCCCACGATCGTAGATAACGAACACGAGACTACCCCTACTGATCCACAACACAAGATGCACACATTGCCCGAGTAAGGTTAGAGATCAAATTGAAATCAGAATTTGCTGTTATGATGTAACTTATTTTGAATACACCATTTGATCTCATTTTGGTTGACTTAACGGTTAACACAGCAAAAATGAGAGCAACATTTTACACTATTGAATCAAACGGAAAACTAATCCTGCTTTCAATTAAATCAATGTGATTACTGATTTTGCATTCATAATGTTTAACTGAATACGGGCCTGGCGTAAATGGTTAGCATCCATGCTTCTCACGCTGAAACACTTAAGCTCAAATCTCACCTCGGGCTAGTCAGGAATGACCAAAAATGTGTAATACAAAACAAATAAACAATAACGACCGATGAACTTAAATCAAATTTTAAACAAGAAATTAACAGCAGAACTTCAAGTTAAGTTGCTTTGATTTAAAAAGTCTTGACTGCATAATGAAAGCACAATATGATATCAGACTTCTGTCGCGACAATTGAAATCAAAATGAGTTTTCATTATGATAGGAACTTCAAACTTTAATATCGATTTGCTTTCATTTTGTTAACCGACTTTGCTCGGGTGGTCTACTCTACTTAAAAATGACCGTTAGGTGGACATGGTTGGTCCTAAAGGGTGTCCACGATGAAATTGCCACACTATGAAATTGCTCTAACTTTTTAACCGTTGGGTAGAATTTAATGAAAATTTGGGTGGATTTAGTTCATAGTGCATTATTTACATCCTGCAAGTTTTAAAGTCCTGTGATAAAAACTCGCGGAAATGGAGTCGAAAGAACAGCTCGTGCGTGATAAAATCTTGCGCATTCATCACGAGAACAAGGATCTCCCGCATCGTTCCATCGCTAAAACGTTGGGAATCGCGAATTCCACGGTGTCGCGAGTGATTAAGCGGTTCGAGGAACGGTTGACCACCGATCGGAAGCCCAGAAGTGAAGGAAAAAGTATTCCGTACAACACCAAAAATCACAACCGCGTAGTTGGGGCCTTCAAC